CGTTTGTAAAACGCTGGACCCCCATGTACCGCCCGGTGCCTGCAGGGGTCCAGCGTTTTACAAACGCTGGACCCCCACCTACTGACAGCAACAAACGCGGGGGGGTGGGGGTGGGGGGGGAAGGGGGCGGCAGCGTTTGGCGAACGATGGACACCCCTCCCCCCCCGGGTGGCGGCCGGTAGACGGGGGTCCTACGTTTGACAAACGCTGGACCCCCCCTTGCGTTGTGGCGGTCGGTAGGCGGCCGATAGACGGAGGTCCCCCTTCCCCCGTTGTGGCGGCCGATAGACAGGCGTCCAGCATTTGCCAGATGCTGGACCCCCCCCCTCCTCCCCCCTCATTGTGGCGGTTGGTAGGCGGGGGTCCAGCGTTTGCCAAACGCTGGACCCCCAGCCTAGCACTAGCCGGCAGCACGGGGTCCAGCGTTTGTAAAACGTTGGACCCCCATGTACCGCTCGGTGCCTGCTGACAGCAACAAACGCAGGGGGGGTGGGGGGGAGGGGGAGGGGGCGGCAGCGTTTGCCGAACGATGGACCTCCCTCCCCCCCGGGGTGGCGGCCGATAGACGGGGGTCCTGTGTTTGGCAAACGTTGGACCCCCCCCTTTGCGTTGTGGCGGTTGGTAGGCTTATTGACGGGCTTCGCAACAGAGCGATGAGGGTGAAACTGCGGAAACAGTTTTCCCCCATCAATCACACGCTGCAACAGATCATGGCGGCTGCCAAAGAGATGGAATGCAAGTTCGCCGCGAGTTTCCTAGAAGGAGAGGATTATCCTAGGGAAGGGGACTCATCCGAACCAGCCAGAGCAAAAGCTGAGCTAGCCGCACTACAAAACAAATTTGAGAACATGGGATTTGTGTCTGGCCCAGTCACCTATCTGGAACAGATTACCCCCAAACGACCAGCTCCGAGTATGATTACGAGCATGCCAGTTCCTGTGATGCCGGCACCAGTAATGACAGCACCCCCGCCGCCAATCGAAATCCCTGCACGATCGAACGAATCAACCGCCATTCTAGAACTGACCAAAACACTAATTAGCCTAATCCGGCAGAGTAAAAAGGAACAGCGAGAGCATAATGCCCGGCTAGAGACTATGATGAGTAACATGCGGCCCATCGCGGTACGTGCCGCTCCAATCCAACAAGGACTGGCCCCGACACCTGCTCTCGGAGGGGCCGCGGGCAATCTAAACGTCTGTTACACATGCCATCAACCAGGGCATCTAGCCCGAGATTGCCCCCATCGACCCCCACAACCACGGGTCGGGGTCGCACCAGCAGCGGCAGCTCCAGTCGCTAACGGACCTCGACGGGTAGGAGCCTTGATGGAGGAAATGGAAGGAGGGAGTGCGATAGCCACCACGGAAGAGGCCGCCGAGCTCATCCCGTTAGACTCGTATGTATTGCTTGGTTATCAGGGGCTTGGAATGATTGGAACGATCAGACCTCCATCGGAACAGAAAGAAGTGGCGGAGTGGCGACCCTCTCCAGGAGAGATGGAGTCGGCCGGACCCACCTTCGTCACTGGAGAAATCGATGTGTTGAACATCATCCGAGCCTTGGACCATCGGATTCCACTTTCGATCGGTCATTTGCTCTCGATCTCTGAATAAGCCAATGAGCGAATGCTACACACTGCAAGGCGAACCGAAAACGATTCGCCTTCGCCGGAACAACGAACGCGAAAGCTAAAAACCCCACGCCAGACGAAAATGCAGTTGGCATGTCGGATCCTTTACAGGTAGGATTAATCCAGAAAGACGATCATTTCCTACGGATTAAACCCATCCCTTGGAAATATGCGGAATGCGACATTGAGATATGGGGAATTCCGTACAATACAATCATCGATTCGGGAGCTGTTGTTTTGGCTATTTCGCTATGGGTAGTTGAGAGGGCGGGTAGGAGAAACGATCTAATCATGCTTACGGAAAAGGATCAGCTCGTTTCGGCAGACGAAGAGAAGATCAAAACGGTGGGACAAATGACCAACGCCGCTTTTCGATTAAGAAAGGTGCATGCGTTGGGAGATGCCGTGGTATTAGACGTAAACACCTACGATGTCCTTTCCGACCTTCCCGCTCTTGTGGCGTTACGAGTAAATCTGGACTTCGAGCGACGGTTGATTATCCTCCGAAAGACGGGAGAAAAACCCTATGTTGTACCTATGAGGCTGACTCTTCGTACTACCCCCAACGCAGTCCCGCGAGTTTCTCCGATAATAGCGGGAAGTCTTCGCATGATTACCTAGGAAAACTCCGCAGACGATGAGCCATCATCGAAGGATGCGGACAGCAGTGACGAAAATGATCCGGTAATTCTGAAACTAGCACGATAGCGCATTTATTACGCGCCGCCCAGAACGGTCGCAAGGATGGTCGATTCTTTGGAACCCCCTCAGACCCTCTACGAAGGAACGACCCCTCTTCTCGCATGATACAATGATAAGAGATCTTTTTGCGACATCACAGGCCTACTACGATCTTTGTTGTCACCCGCAAAAGAAGTACGATTGTTACGCCTGGGGGCGGAGGCCAGTTCTTTGGAACCCCCCGGGCATTTCGAGGCAGAATCAGACGGGCTCGGAATTTAGATCGCAACTAAACCCGTACCGTGGCAAGATATCAGCGATGGAGTCACCCTGGAAGGACACGTGGCCCTCGGGAGGAAGACGCCCAGATGATGGTCACGGTGTTCTCCTGGCGATCGGACCATTCGTTTATCTCTGCGTCACCACCCGAGGCGGCGAAACAAGCACGCACGAAGCAGATCGACGTACGGATATGGGATCAGCCTTATGAATTGCACGTTCTGTAGTACGTACCTGATGAGATTCATTGTTTGATTGCGGACATTCTGACGGAATATCACGGAGCGATTAATGTAACGGACATTGACATCGGCTTATCGTTGGTCATACAACAAGAGATCGAGACAGGAAACCATCCCCCGGTCCATTGCAAACCCTACAGATACTCCCTAACTAAATGAAGGACAGCCTTACAACGAATTAGGGAATTTGAACCTAATGGATGGATTGAACCGACTACGGGACCGTGGTCTTTTCCCGTGGTATTGGTGCCGAAGAAGAACGGATCGATCCGCATATGCATCGATTATCGCAAACTGAATGATATGTGTATCCCCTCCCCCGGATTGATGATTTGCTGGATGCGATTGGATGTGCTTATTATTTCAGCAAGTTTGATATTCGGCATGGCTTCCATCACATTCTGGTTAAGGAGGAAGATCGACCGAAAACGGCCTTCGTGTTGTTCGAAGGCACATGGCAGTGGGTTCGATGTCCGATGGGAATTTGCAACGCGCCTGCCACGTTTCAACGAGCAATGAACATGACGTTCCAGAACTTCGTCAACAAGACACGACTGACTCAGGGAATGATCAACTTCTGCGTGATCGTGTACATGGATGATATCCTTGTCTACTCGGAGACCTATCATGGGCATGTGCAGCACATCGAATGGACATTGGGAGCACTAAGGGATGCTGGATTCAAGATTGCACTCGAGAAGAGCGAATTTTTCCTCTTGGAAATTTCGTTCTTAGGGTACGTAGTGACACGTGGAGGGCTGAGACCGGATTCAAGGAAAGTTGCGTCCGTAAAAGAAGCCCAGTTTCCACGTCGCTGACGCAGGTTCAAGCCTTCTTAGTTCAGGCATCGTACTACCGCCGTTTTATCAAAGGTTTTGTGGCGATTGCTCGGCCCCTCACGAACCTGCTTCGGAAGGACCAGCCTCTGCTGTGGGACTCTGAGTGCGAGCAAGCCTTTGACACACTCAAGGAGGCCCTGGCCACCGCACAAATTTTGATCCGGCCGGACCCTACCAAACAATTCATTCTTATAACGGACAGGCAACCAGAAGCAATCTCCGCCATTCTAGCGCAGAAGGGGAACGATGGTCGCGAACACGTCATCGAGTACACGTCACGAACGGTGCCAGACGAACGAAGGAATGACTCAGCACCACAAGGTGAATGCTATGCAGTAGTCTGGGGAATCCAGCACTTCCATCCGTATCTCTACGGACAGAAGTTCCGCCTCGTGACGGATGATGAGCCCCTGTTGGCCTTGAAGAAGCTCACTAATTACACCGACATGATTGGTCGATGGGCGGTACTGCAGGAGTACGACTTCGACATCATCCATAGGAAGACAGAAAGACACGACAACGCAGACGGACTGACACGTCTGCATCGACCCGCTAAAGTACCGAAGGGCAAGGAAATCACTCCGTGGAAGGAGTCAAAGCCGACAAACAGGCCTAAGTACGGACAAGTGGCAGTTCTCCCACGTGGCAAGAAGCAGACCGGTGGCAATGGGTGACGGAGGTAATCCCGTAACCCCCGTTTCTCCCCTCTCCTCCTCATCTCTTCTCTCCCTGCCTGATAAATTTTGTTATTTTTGTGAAGCGATTTCTCGCGTATATTCTGTCTCCATGCGTCCTAACGGGAAGGCTACGTCCATTGGGTAGATTGTCGGCGGTGTGTCGCACGAGCCCATGGCTCCTGCATCCAGTACCGAAGCAGCGATAGACCCTGGTTGTGCCCTTTGAGCCGAACCGATAAAATTCCAACCGAGGCACGGTTCCTCAACGCCACGTGAGAAGGGTTGGAAAAGACCCGGAAGTTTAGAAGGGCAGAAGTCTGGACGGATATCGCTCTAATAGCTACCCTGGTAGGTAACCCCCTTCAGGACTTCACTAAGGAGGACCGGAGGAGGGCCAACGAATGAGCTCGCGATTATCGATAAGTCGAGGGTAGGTTAAAAAAGCACAAAACGGATGGCAGTAGGATTTGGATGGTTGTACCGCATCCGTTCATGAGGTATGACTGGGTAAAGACGGTGCATGAGGAAACTGCAGCCCACTTCGCCGTGCGAATTACGGAGGCGGCCATCGATAAGAACGAGTGGTATTGGTATTATATCAGCAATGATGTTAAGTTCATCGTCCAGAACTGTCAAGTCTGCGCTGCTAACAAGGCGTCGATCCAGCCGCTAAGATCGATAGTACCAACAGTAGTTGAGCGGCCGTTTCAAAGGGTAACCATGGATACTACCGATATCGTGGAACCTCCTGGTCCTAATAGTTGTGAGTATTCAGTCCTGTTGGTATTTGTCGACCATTTTTAATGGATCGAGGCCTACCCGTGTCGCACGCGGCAAGCCGCTGAAATCACGCGGTATGTTAACCGTTTTCTCGGGATGCACCTGGACACAGAAAAGATCCTGACCGATAACGGGGCGGAATTTAGAGGGGAAAAGTTGAGGAATCTGGTCATACACGGTGTCGCTGTGTGGAATACCGCGCCCCACATGTCACTATCCAACGGGCTGGTAGAAAACGCAAATAGGGTGATAAAGACAGCGCTACGACGTAACATCGCGGCACAGGATCCGAGGCCCTGGCCCGATATCGTCGACCACATCCTGGCGGTCCACCACGGAACGCCCCACAGATCGACGGGCCTGAGCCCCTTCCAATTAAGGACCAATAGCGTCGCTTGCGTTTCGATACCGAGCCTCCCCGATGAATCAATGCTCAACCGACGGCCCACAAGGGCCACGGTTCGGGACAAGGCCAAGCGGCACTTAGAGCTAATGGAACGGTCCTTCCCTAGGCTAGCCCGAAAGCACTAGAAAATGACCGAGTTGGCCCACGGCCGACAGGTCCGAAGCTATGAGGCCCGGAACGGGAACGCAGCTCCACAGCCCCAATACAAATTGGGGGACATCGTGCAGGTGAGGAAATGTGCTCGTCAGGGTAAGCTAGCGCCACGATTCTTCGGGTGATTCCGCGTGATTGAGCTCAGACCGAACAGCGTGAACACCGTGCGGCTTGCGCCTGAGGTCTCCGGCAGCCGATCGACTCGACCAATCACCCGCTACGAGTCCTATCTACGATCCTTCCTTCTTCCCCATCTCCTGCGCCATCTTTTTCTTCGGAAGAAGACGACGACTCTCCATCGCCATGACGCCATGTTCTTCCCCCGCATCTCTTGCCTTATCCCCTACTCTGTCCCCACCACCATTGCCATGAGCTTTCTCACGGAGCGAGCCCTCGGCGAACATCTCTTAACGCCACGGGGTTACATCTTAGAGATTCGGCAGGTTCGTCATCCACTGTTCAATCTGGATCTTCTGCGACTGGCGCAGTTCTTCTGCACTTCGGGGGTGTACGCAGCGGCCGAATTCCGATTTGCGGGCAGTCCTCAAGCGGTCGTGTTACCGGAGGTAGTGGCTGTACATCGGTGGTCAGCTCCCGAGATTAGCCACGTGTCCACGGTCGTCGGCTTCAGCGGCGATATGAGTACGGCCAGTGCGCTACGGCATACGGTCATCCGAACGTCATTGAGGGACTGGGCGCAATAACTGGCGACGGAGTGGAATCACTGGCTTACGCGCCAGAGAGATAATCTTTTCCCCACGGACGGCGTCGAACTCGACGGTATTCGGGCGTTCCAGCACGAGCCAGCGGTGGTGCTGCCGGAACTCCTCCCCTTCCAGCATCCCCGATGAACCGCTCCCAACTCTCCACCTTCGCTCTCCCCTCTCTTTTCCACCTTCTGGCAATCGGGTGTCCATTCTCGCCTCTCCTTCTGCCTGGAGCTGCTCGCTGTCCCCCTTCTCGATCCCGCACACTGGAGGCATTGGCGTGAGCACTTCGTTGCTCTTTTGGTGTGCCTGATCGGAGTACGAATCACAAGGACCAGGGACGAGGAACACCGTGAGTGGTTTGAGTATTTGGAGTTGATGATCGTTCAAGCCTGGAGGAACGACGTGGAAGGCGATCTTCTCGGATTCCTGTTCAGATCGGTGTGCCCCAGTCATCGCCTGCCGATCACCTTGGAGCTAACGGTCCCCCTTGCGCAGCTAGCAGACGACATCACCCTTGAGATCGTCTCGCAAAGTGACGACAACTCGGTTCTGCATGTCCTCATGCGGACTCTAACGTCGTATCTTCAGTGGTCGGCATGCTTGGAGGAGCCAGGGACCACCCGCAACCCGCCATCGCAGCGGGATTATCTGGACCCACGGAAGATCATCGATCTCGCCTTTTTCCAAGATCGGGTGGCCTCCGAGGACGAAGAAATAGAGGTCGAGGAAGAGAGCACTGAGGAAGAAGAAGGAGTCGTCGAAGAGGACGAGGAGGAAGAAACCCCGGAAGAAGGCAGTTATAGTGAGCACAGCGAGGGAGAGCAGGAAGAAGATGAGGAAGAAGATGAGGAAGAAGACGAGGAAGAAGACGAGGAAGAAGACGAGGAAGAAGACGAGGAGACAGAGCTGGAGGAGTCTGAGTGGGAGATCTCGGCGGAGGAGCTCGAGCGAACAGAAGAGGAGTAGGCGGAAGACCCAGAAGCGGCGCGCAAAAGTGACGAAATCGCGGCTGGGAAACAACAGCTGGAGTTCGCCAGCGCGGCAAATTTGTCGATCACCGATGATCCGGTCCACGATCTCGAGCCGCCTAAACCTAAAGATGGAGAACAGGCCGAGACTTCGAGTGCACTGGCAGGATGGCGACGAAGTCAATCCCCCTCCCCCTCCGCCTCCGACCATCCATCAGTTCGAGCCCGTAATGATACGGGGCATCGGGCTTCATCCCCGGTCGTTATGCCGCCGTCCCCTTGACTACCTCACCTTTCGACAAATCACCACCCGTGTCACCTTCACCCGTAACCCCTTCCCCATCGAAAACCTTCCGATTCTTCTACGCCACTCGCCTCGTTGTTACCATTCACCCCCATCCCTCGACCCGATGCACCCTCCCCGATTTCTACCTCCATACCCTTCTCCTTAGTGCCGCGTGGCGAGGCCACAATATGATTGAGGTTTATTGCATGATTACGGGGACTGTCCCCGCATGCGAAAACCACAACCATTTCCGCGCGGCTTTCTTCTGCACCTTTACCACCCTGTATCCCGACTCCCTTGCCTCCCTCCCTCGCAATGGTAATCGCTTCCCCCGCTTCCATCGGATCGTCCGCTACCAGGAGCTCCCAGAGACGGTAGCCCAGGTGGATCGATTCTTACCCCCGCTCTTGATCAACCCTCCCCCTCGCTATGCCGCCATGTACCGGCTTCCGTTTCCCCTCCCCGGTGGACACTGATGATCGGCGATAAGTTGATTGGTGTGTGTGCCACGACGATGGCACAAATGATCCCCTCCTTGGATTGTCGACAGCCCTCCTGAGGAAATTGTAGGACAGAGCTTGCAGGCCACGTTGGGTGACGTCCATACTCTTTCACACGGTAAGTGGTCATGCAGAAAGCTCCACGTGTCGGCTGATTAGGGAAATCGACACGTGTCACGATTCCAGCAAGTAGGAGCTTGCTTAAGATTGGAACCCCCTGGGCGTTACATATGTGACGAACCGATTTCCGCACCCACACGATTTTCTGCGCGGTAGCCACGAGGGGTCCTAAGATGGGAAGGATGGGCCAATTACTGGAGATTGGGATGGATGGGAAATTGCATCGGTGTCCTTGCTTCTTCGTCTTTTTGCGTCGGTTCCATTCGGATGGCTGGTTCGGCCCGGGTGAGTTCCGGGATAATCGATTGGTTGATTGGCTGTATGAGTGGCGCGCCGCCACGCGCGCGAATAATAAAGGTTGACGTAGCTTCTTTTGTTTCGGTTTTGGAACTTTGGGCGTGGACATCGCACGAGAATTTTGCTTCGTTCTTTTTTAATTTTATTTTGAATTTCGTTTTTGAATTTCCTTTTGGATTTTGTGGAGTCTCTACGGCTCTCGGGACTTTGGATTTTCTTTTCGGAATTTGCGTTTTATCTCTTTTTGCATTAGATAGGAACTTAGGAATTTAGGAAATTGCAGTTTTTTTTTTGCGCGTTGTTTTTCGCTTGAGCGCTTCCTTTTTGCAACTGCGTCGAAGTTCTGATTAGCCGGCGCCCTTAATCTTGTGTGTAACTGTAATTTGGGTGGGCGCCATTGTAATTGTATCTGTCATCTTGAACTTCGCCCTTCCCGCCCTTCTTCTCTTTCTTTTTGCTGCGTCTTGGTAGCCGTGGTCTGCATGATCGGATCGATGCGTGGAGAGTGGCTACGTCCCCCACGCCGCGATCTGGCCATGCAGACGTAGGCAATCCCTCCCCCTTTTCTCCTCCCAAGTCCTTGTAATTTCGTGTTCTTCGCGCATGCATGCACGCTATAAATTTCAGTTGCGCGATTAGTTAGCTCTGTTAACTAGCTAGTGGAAGCTTGGGGTAGCGCGATCAGCGAGGGTCAGCTCACGAGCGAAGTAAGAGGTGAGTTGAAGTGGGAGTCGGGAGTCGAGCTGGTGTCGAACGGGCGGGATTGACACGGGCCACGACGGACTGTGGGCGCGGGCGAACCTGACGGGTGCGGGAGGACTAAGTGGGGTGACGACTTCGTGGGTTGGTGCGAGACGACAGACTGTCCGCATGAGAGAGAGAGAGAGAGAGAGAGGAAGAGGGAGCTGAGGTTGATGGACGTGGATTTGCGGATTTCTTTGTCTTTTCTCCCTCTTTGCCTTTGTACATACATTTTGATCTCGGCTTTGGGCGATTCGCCCGTTTTTATTTTTCGGAATCTTGATTTGGTCTCGGCCCACACTTGTTTTTGCAATCTCGGATATTGTGTGTTGTGCTGAATGAATGAATGAATGGATGCTCTGTCTGTTTGTTTTTTTTCTTATGCCTGATCTTTGTCTCTGCTTGTTGTTTTGATACCCTCATGAGCATGGTAGGAAAGTTCGCGTAATCCTCACTATTGCTGTTTGTCCCTCTTGATCTACCGTTGTTACTGCGAAGGCGTAGTAACACCTTGCACATTCACGAATGATTGCATACGAATCATGAGATGATTAGATGATTGGATAGTTGGGTAGTTGTCGACCTGGGCATCACGAGAAATGCGCATAGGCGCGATGTGACTCGCCCAACCTATACGCATTCTCGCGCATCAATTTGCGATTGCCAGCGCATGAAATAACTCACAACTGCGGGCATACTTGAATAATTGGATGAGATCAGTGAACATTTTTGTATGCAACGGCACCATCACCCCGGGTGAACTCGTGTAAGTGCGATCCAAGTCGCGCAGCCTACGCGTACTCACACGCGGTGATCGCAATCGTCGAATAACGGGACGGGCACGAAAATTTTGAACACTAAGCTCAAAAATTCCCCAGCCAGGTAGCCCCGCACTAAGGAATTTCGCGGCTTCACAATGACAAGATGACAAACTCCCGGAACTCAGATTCGTCGTGGGACCCGGAATACTTCACCCCTTGGATAGAAGAATGCCTCCGACAGAGGTTCCCCTGCCTAACCGAGAATCGACTGTGTCCTAGGGAGTTCCACTGTGCCACAACCAGCGATCCACGGTGCTCTGATTTCCCCACTTCAGACCACACCCACTACTTTATTTCCCCCTGTTTTGTCGTTATCTCCACTAACTTCCCTCCCTTCCGTCTTCTTCTCCCGTATCATCAACTCTGAGTCGTCCCGTGGAACGCCATAGCCCCATACTGGCCCCTCACACCCTGCGAAAATTGCCGGCGACGCGGCAACCAGAGAGCTCCGGGAACCCGAGGGCCTAACCCGAACGTACGACGACCGGCGCCACGTGGCGACATCCGATGGCCTGACTCATGAGAACCATACCCACCCCGGATGGACCTTTCGACGAACCGCCGTCATCAAAACAGACAGATCGAACGGCCTTGAATGACCCGCGCATGCCATCTGCCTTACGACCGGAAGCGGTCCGCCCTCTCCACCAAATTGCATCCATGGCCTTGAAAAAACTCTGCCACAGGAGATCTCAGCTCTGACCTGGGACTCCACCCCACTTTCCCAAAAATCTTTGGCACACCCCTTTTCGCACTTCCAGGCCCGCATCCTACTCCGATCAGGAAGTCGCATTGGGCGTGACGTTGGGCGTCACAGCAGAGCGGGGCAACGGGTTTACGCAATGCGCAAAAATTCGAAAAACAGCCGCACGCTCAAAAATTCAAAATTCCCACTCCGCGAATTCCCAACTGTTTCTTGAATTTCTTGGCGCGACTGCCAACCGGCCACACGAGACCCGAATTACGTTTTCTACTCCGTCCCTCTTTTCATAAAGGAGAAACAAGAAAGAAAAAGAAAAAAAAGAAATGAAGCCCCGTTCTTTCCTATTATATTGAATCCGTACTTCAGGGCCTTACATGGGATTTTCCCTTAGGGGTACGGGAAGCCGCCGAGTACGGATCCTGGCTTATCACAGGCCAGCTAACGCAAAGACACAGCATTTTGCCAGTAGTTTCTGCGCCTCCCATGACCAGAAGGCCAAAAAAGTTGGGGAAGAGAGGGGATATTGCCAATGGTAGGAAAGCTGAGAACATCCTGCCACCTAGCGCAGTTGGTAAGGCAGGCAACTGGCATTCAGGAGGTCTTTGGTCCATTCCCCTACGACCGACCACATCTACCTTCCTGGGCAAGCTTGGTGCTTTTAACCTAGAGATAGACTGGAGGGGAGGCACAGCAAATGACCCATCGAAGAAGCTCAGTCCTGATGCTATTGGCTGACTTCTGGCCTGTATCGCCCACGCAGGTTGGGTGCAGCCCTCGGATGTTCCCCAATTTGGAGGCTTGAACTCGGGCTGGCTTTTACGGGGTTCCCGTAGCAGCCAGCCCGCAGCCAGAGTTCAAGCCGCCAAAATAGGGAACATCGGAAGGGCTGCACGCAGCCCGAGTTCAAGCCTCCAAAAGAGGGAACGTCTGAGGGCCCTTCCCCGAAATACTATAATGATGATGAAAAGGCCTGAGAACTGTCCAGCGTTTGTCATTCCGGCCATTCTTTAAACCACCTGTACCTGGCCCAGCTGTGGACAAGTACTTGGCCCAGCTATCGGCTGTGGGAAAGAAGTAGAGTAGTTCTAGTCGGATGAATTTGGGAGCTCCTGTTAACGGGCACGGCTTTAGGAAGTTCTGGTGGTTTAAGCCCTTTCTTTTTTTTTTTTTTTTTTTTGAGAGAGAGAGAGAGAAAAAATCTCCATCTATTGGTGGGGAGCAGCACCTGCTGGAAATCGGGTCCAGCGTCCCATAGATACAACCATATCCTCACAAATTGGCACAAACTGGGAACCGGGCCCAGCGTCCCATAACGACTACACTCAGAAAACTTCATCAGAAAATTCACGAAAATGATGGTGGTTTAAGCCTTGAATGAGCGGGAAAAAAAAAGGAAAAAGAGTGGAAAAAGCATGGCCCCAGCGCAAGGATGGCAGCGGCAAGAGATAGGATCCATGATGAGTTGGCAGCAAATAGAGAGTGAACTGACATGGGAGTAATGAATGTCATTGAGCTGGCAAACAAAAGAGTGTGGACTGATTAGGGAAAATTGAAATGGAAACAATAGGCCTTTAACTCCCCTACTCACCGAATGTGCAAACTGAGAATGAATCTCTCGCCCAATGGGTCTCGCTGCACTACTCTCCACTCTCCGCTAAATCAGAGACGTGGAAGGCTGTCAGACTCTCCGATTCCCCTTTTTTTGTGTTTCATGGCTGCACTTCAGGCATCGTTCGACACACCTCAGGGCGTCCTCGGGCTCCGAGGACGAATCCTCGGAGTAATTTTTGATTTTCGGAGGTGTTGTTCCACCTGTCCTCGGAGAATTGCCCCGAGGACGAATCCTCGGGGCCCTCCCGCGGCCAGTTTAATTAGATTATACACAGCCGCGAGAGGAATGTACGGCCTCCGATTCGGGATGTCCGTGTAGCAGGCGTGGTGGTCCAAAAGGCGGACGGCGGGAAAACGTCACGGGCCCTTGGAAAACAAATCGCAAACGCGGGAAAATCCCCTGTCGAAATTCGAATTTCGAATTTTGATCTTGCGGAGCGACGTGGTGGCGGCGCACAGGCGGCTTGGCCATGGGGCAGCGTACGCCGCGCAGGGTTTCGTTTGCCATCGCGTTGCGCATTTCAGCGGCGCTGCACCGCCACTGCATCAAGTGTGGTCGATGCGGCAAAACGAAGACGTCCGGTAGGCAGTCAAGTTCGCCACGTGCAGGTGCCGCGGCGGTCCTGCTCTTCATCGGCGGTGGGTGGGCGCTCGAATCGGAATCACGTCGTTGGGCCAGGCTGTCTTCCTGACGTGGTTGCAGGCGTCTTCAAACGTGGCGGCAGAGGTGCACGGAGGTGGGCGGCGGTGGACGTCGTTTTTTGTCTTCAAAGGACGTGATGGACGGCTGCGATGGCGATGGACCTGCTGTGCTGTCGACGACGGAGAAGACAGCTGTCGCGGCGGCTGCGGTTGCCGTTGTCCGTCGTTTCCAAATCGAGAGTACGGTCGGGCGCATGAAGGCAGCGCTTTCGAGGCAGCGGCAGAGGCTACTGATGCAAAGGGTGTTGGACGCCCCAGACTGCATCACCACATCCCAAGCCGTGGTTCAGCTGTGTGCTGCAATCGGGTGCGGTTTGCTTCCTCGGGCGACGCCACGTTGGTGGATGCGGCGGAGAGCTGGCGGGACTTGGGAGGATTTACGGTTGTGCGATGACGAGACAGACGACTACTTCCGGGAAAAGCTCCGCATGTCCAGGAGAGTGTTTATGGAGATCAGCGAAGCATGTGCGCCTCATGTGCAGCGGCATGTGTCGTTTTACAGGGAGCCACTACAGCCGGAGCAGATCGTCGCGTATGCGCTGTATAGGTGGGTCACAGGAGAGTCTTACGTTAAGAGCACATCATCCTTCGACATGGGCAGGACTTCCGGAGTTCAAGCCGTGCGCGATGTGACAACCGCTATTTTAAGGGTGTACGGGGAGAAGATATCGAGGCAGAGGGGGTGCGGAAACAAGTCGTGCTACGGGCATTTCTGGACAAGGGCTTTCCAAACTGCCATGGTACAGTTGACTGCACAAACATCTACGTGGACAAACCGGCGAACGCGCCGAACAAGAACTACTTCGACCGCAAGCACCGTTTTTCCGTCATTGCGCAGGTTGTGGTGGACCTGGATCTGTGCGTCCTTGATGTGTTCGTGGGATATACGGGTAGCTGCCACGACATTAGGGTGATCCATCTGTCAAGTCTGTCGAGGCGCGCGGAAGAGGGATTGCTGTTTCGTGGGCCGCCTGTGACGCTGCTAGGAGGGGTGACGACGAACGGATACATCTTGGGCGACAACCAGTATCCTCCTTCTGAGTGGGTGGTGGTGCCGTACGGAGGAATCAATCAGCACCCGGACGAGGAAAGGTTCGACACGAAGTAGAAGGTCGCAAGAGGGGCCGTGCAGAGGGCGTTCGGGAGGTTGAAAGGGATGTGGAGGCTCTTCCTGCGGACGCACAAGACGAACCTCGACAGTTTGCCGCAGTAGTTCACGGCGGTATGCATTCTCCACAACATCCTGCTCAATGCAGGAATAGAGTTCGACGAGAATCTGTTGTGGGAGGTCGACGCGAACGGGGTGAGGCAGTGAGTGGACCTGGGGATTCATCGCCCCCCGCAGCCAGTGTCTATGTTGACTTCGACGCGCGAGGCTCATGCGCTCCGCAATGCACTGGCGCAGCGGATGAAACACGTTTGATCCAGCCAGCCGCCTACCTGTTCGTCCCGTTGAAGTCGTGTCCCGCCATAGTCATCCGACAACTCTTTCGTCTTTCGCTCATGCGCGCGATCGCCAGTAAGGGTCTGTCGTCACGGTAGGTTTCTTTTCAGGTGTTTGTTCTTGTATTCCACGACGCTGTATAGGTCCAGTTCGTCGCACAGCGGGAGTGCGACGGGATTGCTGATGTAGTATTCGTCCTCTGCGGTTGTCTTTTTCGTATTTTGGCTCTTCATTGTCGTCGTGGCCAAGAAGTTGGTTTTCCCGTGCAATGCCGTGGAGTCGTCGATGGGTTCGGTCCTTGTTTGATGGAGGGGGGTAGGGGGGGGGGAGGGTTTGTCGTAGAAAGGAGTTGTAGTCAAGGGCTGGCACGAAGAGGTTCGTGAGCCCGCTGTTTCGCATGCGCTTCACAGCGCCTTTTTTTTTTTTGAACTTTCGAACGGTAAATTTTTTTGATGATGTTTGGGAATGGATGTTTTGGTGTAGCCGACTGCTGCTATTGTTTCGAGGGATGTTTTTTTTTTTTTTTTTTTTTTTTTT